TCGCCTTAATGGATCCACATTCGGCCAAAGTACTGTGCACGATGCATGCTCCAGTGCCAGCGTCACTACCGCAGTCCTCGGCGATGGCGGAGTACCTAGCCTACGCGTACACAGGGCAGGTGGCAGATCGCCCAGCTGATGGTTACGCGGACTTCATGGGCACGGTCAGGATGGCGGCCCTCACGCACGAGCAGCAGTTGCAGTCTAAGTCGGCATACGCGTGCGTGGCCTTATTTGCCCAGAGCCTGCCTGGGTTCCGCCATCTCCGCAGCGTGACGCACGTGAAAGCACAGCGTTCGGGAGAGGAGTATGCTTGCATGGATATGGAAACAAGAAGGCTCACGGATGCTAATGTCTATGCGGACGTGAGAGCCAAAGCTGGTGCGGCGATGCATGCACCTATCAGCGAGGACTTCGCGAAGGCTATCGACACGGCCAGCGTGAGGATCAAGAACTTCGCGAAGCTGGTTGCGGCAGTACTTCCCTTGTTTGATCGAGATGCTCACGAGCGTTGGACACGGCGAACAGCCCAGATCAAGAGGATAAGGAGTACACGTGCTGACGGATGGCACCAGTGGGAGGAAGGAAACTTTGGTCTCCAATGCAAGGCGTGTTTGAAGATCAACTGCCCAGGGACTGAAGTTATGCTCAATGGTTGTGCTGGCGCCCCCACATTCCTCAAGGCCTTCCTCAATCAACCACTCGGACATCACCTAGTGGCGGTGAACCAGAAGGGCGACGGGCTCAGCGACGAGGCGGTTCCAACGGTCTTTGTCTGCGTGGGCTGCGGCGCCCGGGCGCAACAACGCCGACGGCAGAAGCTCAGGAGGCAGTGCAAGCCGCCAACCAGACAAGGAGTTGAAGTGCTGACGAATCTTCGAAGAGGATTGGGCCCACACAAGACGCTGGCGAGGCATATGGACATGACGACCCCCTTGCATAGGATGATGCCCAAGGTCCTGCCCCCGCTAAGATCGAAGACTTGCGTCACTCGCCCCGTGGCAATGGCGGAACCCGCGGGATATGAGCACAAGATGGCAGCCATAATGGAAAGGATAAAGGCAAAGGAAAAGGCGAAGCGTGACCAGGACGATGACAACAACACGATCCTCGGACGCACGCGACACGCAGTTCCTGAAGCGGCCGAACAACAACACGGGGGAAGTGGTTGCACGGGTACGAGGACGCCCACCGAGTCCCTAGCGCCCACGGAGCCCGCGGTTCCTCACTGGCGCCATGGGGGTGAAGTGCCCCCTGCGGCACAGCTTGGTGGCGAACCCCTACCCGCGATTGGCGAAGACGGAGTAGGTGCTGATGATGGAGCACGCTGCAGATACATCGGAAAGGAGGCAGGAGCAGGGCCGCAACCGAGCGAAGGAGGTGGAACGGAGGCAGGAGCAGGGCCTCAACCACCTGACAAAGACAGCAAGCTTGCCATGGGCCGCGACGGAAAGGGGGCAGGAGCAGGGCCCCAACCGAGCGGTAGCGGCACAAAGGAACTTGGAGCAGTGCCTCAACTGCGCGCTGAAAGGGTGCAGCAGCGAGGGCGCGCACAGCAACCAAGTCTCTGGGCCCTCTTTCAGGCGGCATCGGGACGACGTGTTGAGAACGGGCAGAAGGACCATGGGCCGAATCCCATGGGAAGGGCAAGCGGTTCTCTCGAGCAGCAGACGTTGGAGGCAACCATGGGCGTCCAGGCGCTCAGCGGCAATCGCAGCGGGAAACATGCTGCTCGAGGCCGCGCAGAGGTCAATGGCAGGTCTCGAGGCCTGGCTGGGGATGCGGTGGCAAGCACCACGAGGAGTACCTCGAGAAGAAGGGCGGAGCCAGTGGCTAAGGAGACGCCCAGCCAGGGGCAGCGAGGACTGCGAGCTGTAACCGAGGGTAAACTCCATGGAGCTGCTGGAGCTACGAAGTGGGGCCGTTCGCGGAGTACGTCCTGCACGGCGCCAGTGGCCCTGGATGTTCCTCCCAGGGGCGGCGCGGAGGCGGCTTGGGAGATCCGCCCTAGCCACCTATCCCCTGCACGGCGAGGGGTTAGGCCGCAGGGGATACGGGCAGCGCCCGACGCAATGCAGGGAGGAGATGCTGGCGTCATGACGCGGGGTACTATGAGGAGCACTCCACACAAGGCGCCAGTGGCCCTGGATGTGTCTCCCAGGGGCGGCGCGGAGGCGGCTGGGGCGTTCCGCCCTAGCCGCATATCCCCTGCGCGGCGAGGGGTTAGGCCGCAGCGGCCGCTGGCAGAGGCCGACATGACGCAGGGAGCCACTGGCGCTACGACGCGGGGTACTACGCGGAGTACTAGCTGCGCAGCGCCTGTGGCCCTGGATGTTTCTCCCAGGGGCGGCGCGGAGGCGGCTGGGGCGATCTGCCCTAGCCGCCCTTCCCCTGCGCGGCGAGGGGTTAGGCCGCAGCGGACACGGGCTGCGCCCGTCGAGATGCTGGGAGCTGGTGACGATACCACGCGGGGTACTGCGAGGAGTACTCCCTGCACGGCGCCTGTTGCCCTGGAGGTGTCACCCAGGGGCGGCGCGGAGGAGGCTGGGGCGGTCCGCCCGAGCCGCCTTGCCCCCTGCGCGGCGAGGGGTTAGGCCGCAGCGGCTGCGGGCACTACCGTCGAGTCGCAGGCGCCGAGCGCCGAGCGCTGAGTGCCCGCGGCCGCGGGCGCTCGGGCGCGGCGGCCCCCGAGGGGGCGACCCGCGACCGCGGGAGTGTCTTCTTCTTCTTCCTCCTCCTCCTCCTCCTCCTCCTCTTCAACGGGGTGGTGATTCTGGGTAGGGATGGAGGGGACGAATCGGAGCGGCGAACCACTGCTGTCGCGAGCACTCCTGTCGCGGCTACCCACGTCCCAAAACCGTGAGGTCACCCCGAATCCCCACTGACTCACCACACGGTGTGGTCACCGCACCGCTTGGGCCCCCCGAGCGGACCACCTTTGCCCGCTCTTTACTCATGGGACCACGCGGCCTCTTCGAGCTGGTCTCGACGCAGGGCGTACAGCCAATGACAGTGCGCCCTGCAAGCCTGCTGACCCCGTCGTGGCACATGCCAGCGAAGGAAGAAATTACTTGTGCAACATGTATCTCGCAAATACAATTACTTCAACCGCAGATTTTTCCTCGATGTTGGAACTCAAGGGCCGGTTCCGGGCCACGGGACCATCAAACATGAGCGCGTTTCTTAACGTTCGGCGATGACGGGCATCATGGGGGGGGGGGCGGGGGGGGGCATGACGTAACGCCACCCCCGCCGTGTGGCCCTGGCAACACAGCCGCGCCCGCGCGCACGACGCGACGAGCGACGAGCGACGAGCGACGACGACGACGACGCGAACAGCATGTAGATGGCGATATGCCCCACTGCGCCTGTGTACACCACAACGCTCGCATGCACCACAGCGCGCGTGTATACCACAGCGCTTGCGCACACCGCAACAACCGAGTGCAACGCAGCGCCTGTATACACCACAGCAGCCGCGTACACGACAGAGCCAGTGTACATGTGTCCACCGCAGCAACCATGTGCAACACAGCACCTGTGCACACCACAATTCTTGCGTGCGCCGCAGCGCCTGTGAACGCCACAGCGCCTGTCTAAACCACAATATCTGCGTGTAACGCAGCGCTGGTGTACGCCTCAGCGCCAGCGTGCATAGGACAGGTAGAAGGAGCATGTGCGAGAGGATTTGGTGTGGACAACTAGACGCCACGCCACCAAAGTGCTGATCATCGAATGCGACGTTCTTCAATCCTCCCTCCTCCTCCACTTCCACCACATCCTCCTCCTCCTCCTCCTCCTTGTCCCCTGTCGCGCGGGTTGGCGCTACAGCGCACGTGCGCATCTCAGCGTGCACCGCAGAACGGTTTATTGAATTGGCCGACTTGGTTCTCGGACGGCCAATTGAGCTGGAGCTTCCTGGACACTGATGGGAGGAGTTAGGGTGATGCGGGCGGACTCGGGAGGACTCGTGGATTCCAGCGGCGCTCCGTTGTCCATAAGGATGTCTTTATTGTTTTCAATGGAATCCACAAGCGCTTCACTTTGTCAAAAAAGGGGTCCTTCTAACATTCTATATGCAACAGTGGTGCTGACTTGCAAACGGTTGCTGTGGTGCACACAGGCGCCGTGGTGCACACGGCACTGCAATCCACGCAGGCATTGTGGTGTACACTGGTTCTGTGTTGCACACGGCTGATGCGGTGTACGCAGGCGCTGTGGCGCTGTGTTGCACGTGGCCGCTGTGTACATAGGCGGCGTGGTGTACACAAGCGCTGGGGTGCACACGCGCACCATGGTGTACACAGGCGTTGTGGTGCAGATCGCCACCTACATGCTGGTGCTACCCGTCCTCCGTCATTCCTCGGCATTCCCAGACGACGCCGGCGCGAAACGTGACGTCGCGTCGTCGACCTCCCCCCCCCACCCAAATGATTGCCGCCATCGGCCCCCTCCACACCACGCCCCCAGGCTCCAGCCGCGTCCGCGCGCACGACGACGATGAGCGACGAGCGACGAGCGACGAGCGACGAGCGACGAGCGACAAGGACGAGGACGAGGACGACGACGACTGCGGACCTGACAGACTCCTATGTGGATTCCTACGCGGACACCTACGCGGATCCCAATGCGCACGGCGGCAGTGCCCGGAACGCACTGGGGGGGGGGGAGCGTCACGTCATAGGCGGGGGGGGAGGGAGCGGGGGCCATGACGCCCGTCATGCCCCAAGCAATAAAGAAACAGGCTCCATGGATCCAGGATGAAAAGATACCCTTTGCGAAGGAATCGGCACGGCTGCGGTCACGGATGTAAAGAATCAGAATAGCCGACACCAGGGCAGGCGGTCGACTTGCAGCGCCTCGGCGGGGGAAAGAACTCGTCTCCTCCCCTCAAAGTCATCCTCCTGCCCGCTCCTTGCCCTCACGAACAGCTGTGTACAAGTCTCCTTCGTCTGGAATGTCGGGGGACTCAACTCGATGTTCGGTAAAAAGAAGGTCACTCCATGATGTATTCTGGGATCTGCACGTGCACCGTGTGCTGCATCAATAACTGCCCTATCCGGAACGATTTCAACTCCTCGTCCTTGGGCGCGCGTACAGCGCTCGTCAATAGCTGCCGCCTCAAGTTTTCAACGCTTCCTTCTATCCTCGCTGCTATCCCCTCCTTCCTAAACGCATCGTAAGTAATCGTAACCGACCGCGAATTGAAAACTATTTAACTCTGTGAGCAAGTTCGGTTGACTGGCCCGCCCCTGCACAAGACGACAACCGAATGTTGACTATAAGCTGACCGTTGATTTGCAATCCCACTCACTGGCAGAGACCCTCATGCATACCGAACGATGCGCGCCATACCGTGCAAGTGCCTCCTGCATTCTTCGACAGATGGACGGGAAGGTCAAGCTCGGTCAGCACTGGCATCGTATCCGATGGTCCTCTTCCGTTGCTGCTGCTCCTGCTGCGTCTCCTGCTAAGGCCTCTCCAGCTGATCCTCCTTCTCCAATGTCCCACCCATCTCCCATCCCCCTCTCCCCCGGCCTCTACGCGATCCAGATGAAGACTAGAGTGGTTAGTTTGCCATGGCCAGCATGAATATGTTCGCATAGAGCATCTGGTTCACGAACGTTGATTCTCACGTTTCCGCTGTGGTGACCATTACCAATGCATGGTAAACCATTTACAGATAGGCGTGCGTTCGCAGACTTCAGCGTGGTCATGTGTGGTGCGTTGGCACCACTACAGCGCTGATAGCGCAACATGACAAGCTTCAGTTGTAAACCTCATCACATTCTGGGGTGACCAATTGGATGCTGTCGTTGGGCTACCGGGTGTAGAGTGCTAAAAGTCGCTGTCCATGTCGCCACAACGCCATGCTTTACTTGAGACAGGCCGCAAGCACAAGGAGCACATCGTTAAATCCAACAACAATGCGTGGTGTTGAATCGGAGTTGGAAACTGTCACATTCAAAGTGGTTCATGACCACCAGGTTTCCTCGACATGATGATTGCAAGTGAGATGGAGGAAGAGAAGATGGCGGAGGCGGAAGCAGAGGAGCAGAGAGAATAGGGGCAAGAACAATGGGCATGACCAGGAGGATTCAGAAAGGAAAAAAGTCGTACCCTGACCCAAAATGCCACAAGCACGTTCCCTCAAACGACCACCCTCACTCTGCAAGGGGACGGTTGGCATGAGGAGATGGAGCAGATGAGAAGGATGAGAAAAAGGAAGGGATGGGGAAGAGGCGGATAAGAAGGGATAGGAAATTTATGAAACAGCGAAGGACGAGGTGGAGAGGGAGCGTGAGACGCAAGTTCCTCAGTCTCGTAGCTCTTCATCATCTTGAAGAACTTGGCCATATCCTCCCGCAGCGCCCCCAAATCGTGGCACGACAACCCAAAATCCAACCACTCTGTATCTCAACCTTCGCATCCCCCCCCCTTCTTCTGCCACTTCTGCATCGCCCAATAACCAAAAAGGAGCACCGCCCCTGCATGTTAGTGCCTCCGCGCGGGCTGGAATTGCACGTGCGGTGCCACTCTCCAAAACTCGTGCGGTTGGGGAGGTGGCCGCTGCGTCCGGCCACCCCCAGACGCTGCCCCCCTGGGTGCGGTGCCCCTTCTGCGAAGTCCGGACCTTCCCCCGTGCTCCCTGTGCTGCCCGACTCCGCATCCAGTTCCGCCTCGCCTTCTGGCTCCACCGCCTCTTCTTCGTTCTCCTCACACCCACCCCTCACTCCTACCTTTAGGTCGGGCATGTCCTCCTAAAGGCGGATTTTGCAGGAACAATGACGAATAGCCTACGAATATTCATACAATGTTTTCTATGAAACGAAAAGCTAGCCTGGCGAAGGACCCAACCAAATGCAATTGTGAGTACCGCAGTTGTGGGTATCGTCTCCGGTGGAGCTCCCTATGGGGACACGAAGAGCTGTGCTGGGCGGGGGTGACGCACTGGGGCGTTCGCTGTGGTGCCACGAAGCGCTGCACTGGGCGGGGGAGACGCATGTGAACTGTTCCAATGGGGCCTCCTGTGGAGATCCCGAGGGGGCCTCGAAGCGCTGTACTGGGCGGGGGAGATGCATGTGAACTGTTCCACTGGGGCCTTCGGTGGACCTCTCTATTCGGCCACGGAACGCCGTGCTGGATAGGTGAGACGCATGTCCACACCGCCAATGGAGCCTTCGGTGGAGCTCCCTATGGGGCAACGAAGCGTTCTACTGGATGGGGAGACGCATGTGGACACCGCCGCTGGGGCCTTCGGTGGAGCTCTACATGGGGCCACGAAGCACTGCACTGGGTGGGGGAGACGTATATGGACACCGCCATTGGGGCCTTCTGTGGAGCTCCATATGGTACCACGGAACGCTGTGCTGGGTTGGGGAAATGAATGTGGACACACTGGGGCAATCGGTGGAGTTCCCAATGAGGCCAAGGAGCGCCGTGATGGGTGGGGGAGACGCACGTGGACACCGCCACTGGTGCCTCCGGTGGGGGGCCACGAAACGCTGTCGGTGGAGCACCCTGTGGGGCCCCGAAAACCAGTGCTTCGTGGGGGAGACGCATGTGGACACCGCCACTGAAGCCATCGGCGGAAGTCTCTGATGGGGCCACGAAGCGCTGCACTGGGTGGGTGAGACGCATGTGGACACCGCCACTGGGGGTTTCGGTGGGGCTCCCTATGGGGCCACGAAACGATGTGCTGGGTAGGGGAGACGCATGTGGACACCGCCACTGACGCATTCGGTGGAGTTCCCCATGGGGCCACGAAGCGCTGTGCTGGGTGGGGGGGACGCATGTGGACACCGCCACTGGGGCCTTCTGTGGAGCTGCCTATGGGGCCACGAAACGTTTTGCGGGGTGGGGGAGACGCACGTGGACACCGCCACTGGTGCATTCGGTGGAGCTCCCTATGGGGCCACGGAACGCTGTGCTGGGTGAGGGAGACGCATGTGGACACCGCCACTGGGGCCTTCGGTGGAGCTCCCTGTAGGGTTACGGAACGAAGTGTTGGGTGGGGGAGACGCATGTGGACACCGCCAGTGGGGCACTCCGTAGACCTGTGCTGGGCGGGGGAGACGCACGTGGACACCGCCACTGGGGCTTTCGGTGGAGCTCCCTTTGGGGCCACGAAACTGTGTGATGGGTGGGGGAAACGCAGCACCGTACTGGGTGGAGGAGACGCATGTGGACACCGCGACAGGGGCATCTGGTGGAGTTCCCTATGGAGCCACGCAACGCTGTGCTTGGTGGGGGAGACGCATGTGGACACGGCCACACGTGCATTCGGTGGCGCTCCCTATGGGGCCACGACACGTTGTGCTGGGTGGGGGAGACGCATGTGAACACCGCCACTGGGGCATTCGGTCGAGCTCCCTCTAGGGGCCACGAAACGATATGCTGGATTGGGGAAGCGCATGTGGACACCGCCGCTGGGGCCTTCGGTGGAGCTCCCTATGGGGCATTTGAACGCTGTGCTGGGTGGGGGGGGCGCATGTGGACACCGCCACTGGGGCTTTCGGTGGAGCTCCCTATGGGGCCACGAAACGCTATGTTGGGTGGGGGAAACGCATGTGGACACCGCATTTAATGGAGCCTTCGGTGGAGCTCCCTATAGGGGCCACGATACGTTTTGCTGGGTGGGGAAGACGAGTGGGGCTTTCGGTGGAACCCCTCATGGGGCCACGGGGCGCTGTGCTGGGTGGGGCAGACGCACGTGGACACCGCCACTGGGGCATTCGGTGAAGCCCCTTATGTGGCCACGGAATGCTGTGCTGGGTGAGGGAGGTGCACCGCAAACTGGGGCCTTCGGTGAACACTGTGCTGGGTGGGGGAGACGAATGTGGACACCGCCGCTGGGGCCTTCGGCCGGGTTCCCTTATGGGGCCACGAATCGCTGTGCTGTGTAGGGGGGGCGCATGTGGACACGGCCACTGGGGCATTCGGTGGAGCTGCGTATGGGCCCACGAAACGTTTTGCGGGGCTGGGGGGGCGCATGTGGACGCCGCCACTGGGGCATCCGGTTGAGCCCCATTGTGGGCCACGACACGCTGTGCTGGGTGGGGCAGACGCATGTGGACACCACCACTGGGGCATTCGGTGGAGCTCCCTATGGGGCAACTGAACGCTGTGCTGCATGGGGGAAACGCATGTGGACACCGCCATTGCGGCCTGGGGTGTAGTTCCCTATGGGGCCACTGAGCGTTGTGCTGGGTGCGGAGGGCCGCATGTGGACACCGCCATCGGTGCCTTCGGTGGAGCTTCCTATGGGGCCACGGAACGCTGTATTGGGTGGGGGAGACGCATGTGGACACCGCCACTGGGGCCTTCGGTGGAGGTCCCTGTAGGGGCCACGGAACGCTGTGCTGAGTGAGGGAAACGCATATGGGCACCGCGATTGCCTTCGGTGGAGCTGCCTATGGGGCCACGGAGCGCTGTGCTGGGTGGGGCAGACGCATGTGGACACCGCCACTGGGGCATTCGGTGGAGCTCTCAGTGGGGCCACGAAACGCTGTGCTGGGTGGGGGAGATGCATGTGGACACCGCCACTGGGTCCACGACACGCTGTGCTGGGTGGGGGAGACTCATGTGGACACCGCCACTGGGGCCTTCGGTGGAGATCCGTTGTGGGCCACGACACGCTGTGCTGGGTAGGGGAAACGCATGTGGAAACGTTGTGCTGGGTGGGGGGGGGCGCATGTGGACACCGCCACTGGGACCTTCGGTGGAGTTCCCTTTGGGGGCAACGAAACGTTGTGCTGGGTGGGGGAGACGCATGTGGACACCGCCACTGGTGCATTCGGGCGAGCTCCCTAGGGGGCCACGACACGCTGTGCTGGGTGGGGGGGGGACGCATATGGACACCGCCACTGGGGCGGCATTCATTCGGTGGAGTTCCCTTTGGGGCCACGAAGCGCTGTACTGGGCGGGGGAAACGCACGTGAACACCGCCACTGGGGCATCCGGTGGAGCTCCCCATGGTGATGATGACGACAACGAAGACATGCAGAGGGCAGAGGCAGGGATGGGAGGACGGAGGAGGTGGAGCAGGGAGCATAGGAACGAATGAGGGAAAAAGGGAGGGAAGTAGGGAACGCGGGGACCGTCCCCACAAAACGAGGACCAACACCACAGGTTGGTTGGGAAAAACCTCCCCCGACTATTTTTGACTATATTTGAATCTTCCTCCTGTAGAGGGACACGCCCGACTTAACTCGACCTGCATTATTCCCCCATTTCCTCCACCGCTCGACCAACAACCAACAGGCGACACCGCCGCGCCGGCGTCCCTCCACGCTGGCGCTGCGGCCCACCGGGCGCCGCAGCGCAGTGCCGCGCAGAAGCCCGCGCTGGATGCCCTGGCAGAAGATGGGCCCCCTGGGGCCGCAGGCGGAGTGGCGCCGTTTGCTTTAAGTCGGGCATGTCCCTCTCCAGGCGGAATATGCAAAACAGAACAATATAACATTGGTCGGGGACAATGTTTCGAGCATTTGTTTGGCATGTTTGGAGTATGGTTTGACTAGTTGGTCTTTCGTCCAAAATCCCCCCGTAGGGGGACAGGCCCGACCTACCGTTCGTTCTCTGGTCCAGCCGCGGCATCCCCGCCCTCTGTTTCACGTTCGTGGCCAACTGCTCCTCTACCCGTGCGCCCCCCCTCCCCCAGTCCGCCCCTGCCCCCGCTCCGCCCGCCCCTCGAGACCCGAGGAGCGAGGCTGAAACGGCCTGCGACCGAGCTGCCGCGCGCCGCACGGGTCGGGGCAAGACACGCGCCGAGAGCCCGACAGCGGCGCCGCAGTCGGGCTGCAGCAGGCATTCCCGGCCGTCCTGTGGTGTTGGGTCCTCGCTTTGAAAAGACAGCGCCCCGCGTTCCTCCACTCGTCCGCCTGCTCCTCCTTCCTCCCTCCTCCCTCCTCCCTCCTCCGCAGTTCGCATGCGGTTCCTGCGCCCAGAACAACGCTTCGTGGCCCCAGAGGGAGCTCCACGGATGACGATACCCACCACTGCGGCACTCAGAACTGCAGAAGGTTGGCTTCTTCGCCAAGCTAATCCCACCAGCCCTCTGGGCGTGGGTGGTTTAAGGCGGTTCCTCTTCCAACCCCCATTTCTTCCCCCTCGGGGAGGGGGGTTATCACTGTTCCCTATTAGTAATCACCCCTTCCCCCAAGCGACTGCTAGCCAACCCGGAACCATGAGGGCACCCCCCCATCCCTTCTACAAAAACCATACAAAACTCATTCTGCCTCCAAATTCGGAGCATGCGCAGCCAACCCGATGCGGCCTCCCCCCACCACCACTGACAAAAATTAACCGGACGAAGGACCCAACCATACGTAATTGCGAACACCGCAATTGTGGATATATTC